CATGCTGTACGTCCGAGGGGCTGCCAGCCTGGGGTCCTGCGTGCTTTCAAATCGGAGCTCGCCTCTGCGCTTTGCTTCTCCATTCTCGTTTGCTTCAGGAGAGCCGCTAGAACAAGCACGGTCAGCTCCTGATGTGATCGGGGCTGAGCAGGGATGATCTTCAGCACCAGAAACACCATCTTCTCTGAGAGAAAAGGAGCAATTACAACACAAGCACTAGCCTTGCAGCAAGGAGTGAAAATGGTCAGAGGAAAATATGTTTGCAGCCAGATTATTATATGATGGTGGTTCCTATCTGAAGGTATGAGAAGAATAAAGCCAAGAAAATGTTACTGCTTCAGAAGCAGTCACAGGAGCTTTCCGCACTGCTCTCTTTTAAGGCCTTGGGGAGGAAGAGGAGAAGGAGAGAGGATCTATGTGATGGGCAGTAGGGGGGACCCTCTGAGCTTATAGCAGGACAGGGCATACCTGGTATTTAGGGACATACGTACACTTTAGCGAACTCATTCAACAGAGCATCATATCTACTTCTCAGCATCTAGTCTTCTGTTAGGAAAGCTGAAGCATACCAAATCAGCAATCCATCCTCACATGTGTGAAACCATGCAACCTCCTATCCCCCTTCAGAAGACAACACACAATCTAGTGACACAAATCAATGAAGTGTTGAGCTCATCATTGGAAGTGTTCGCGGTCAGGTTGGATGGAGCTTTGAGCAATCTGATGTAGTGAAAGATGTCCCTGCTATGATTCTGTGATAAAGCAAGCCGTGTGGGACGGCACACAATCACCAATATTCATGACAGAACAGCATGCCAACAAAGCAAAGCCAAACTTGAAGGCAATGGACATCCAGCCAAAACCTCACAGATCCAGGCTTTGCAGTCAGAACAGAAGAATGGAAAAAAAGAAGCCTAAAAAGGCAGGTAAAAAAACCCAGGACCAATAAATAAACAAACAAACAGTAGACTGAGCCAACAAGGTGGCTGGCTGAACAATCCTGACAGTGACCGTCTCTTCTTGCACCCAAGAGGATTTAGGTCAGTCCATGAAACTAATCTCACAGCTCCCTGGTGTTTTTATCTTTCAGAGGCCAGGTTCCTTCCCAAATCCACCCTGCTGAAGAGCTCACCTACTAAAAGAAGTAACCTGACAGGAGAGGAAATACCAGCAATAAGCCATAACCTCCCTTTTCCTAACCAGAGGGTGGAGCAGCAGCATCACTTTCGAGGAGATACCCAAGTGGAGTGGGTGAGGAGACTGAGGGCAGCTCATTCAGCATCACTTTTACAGCAGATTAAAAGGAGCAGGCATGTCCAGTGCCTCCAGAGCCAGCTCCCAGGCCCCAGCCCTGAGCCTCAGCTGCACACCCGGGGCTTGTCGGATGTGCTGGCACCAACCCCAGGGAGATTTGCCTATGTTCCACTCAGAGGACAAGTTAAGGCAAACTCTTCAAGCCTAGAAATAGCAGATCAAGTTTACCATTGATTATCAATGAGTTACCTCCAACGGGCAGGCTGGGCTGCAACTTGCTAGTAAATTACAGTGATGGGGGTGGAAACACTGGTGATGACACATTTTGGACTCTGGAGTTTGGAGATATATAAATTGTGAGCGTGGGGGCAGCACTATGCTGCCAGATCAGCACATCCGCACTGTTGGGCGAGAAAACATCTTTCCAGTCATGCCAGGAATGGGCAGGTCAGAGAAGCTCTGTTGTATGGATTAGGTACATAACGCAAAATACTCGTGTGACCCACTGGATAGGGAAATGTTGCTCTTCCTCCTAGAAGGCCGATTGACAAAGGATGCAGTATTAATCATTCAGCAAAAGCTGCAGAAAATCCTGTCCTCAGCTCTGGAGGGGCTTGATTATTGATCTAATGAGAAGAGGAGGTCAGGAAGGATTTTCATGCTGGTATACCAGCGCACTGTATTCAAGTTGTGAAATTTGCAGTTGAGAGCTTAGAAAGACCAGGCGAGCACGTTCCTGTAACTGGGTACAACAGAAGACAGAAGAGATGGAGGCCTCCCCTCCTGCTCTTTTGGCTGCTTTAGAGCGTTTGAGACAAGATTTTATCTGGGAAAAAATACTCCATTTTCTCCTAGCAAGGACGGGATGTGATCCACTTAATGAGTTCTTTACCATGCAATTTGATCATGACAGCCAAGAAGGTCATCGCAACTTCACAACTACAACATTGCAGCTTGTTCATCTTCTCAACAGAGTGAAATACTTACTGGGAGGGTCTGTCCTGAGCTCTGGGGAACACCAGCCAAAAAAAAGAGCCAACTTCAGCAACACAAAGGAGTGTAGCAGCTGTACAGAGGACTAAGAGGTGAGGATGAGGCCTCTCTGAATTACTTTGACAATTTCCTGAAACCACCTTTCCCTTCACATTGGTGTATCTGGCCAGAGGCGCTTTTTTTCTTTAAATTAGATGATTAGTTAGATAATTAGATCATTTTTAATTAGATGGGCATGAAATCAAGAGAATCGTTTTATTCTCACCTCCAAAAGCTGGCCGCATGGTGAAGTCATGGTCATCAACCCTGAGAAGCTGCTCCGTCTTTCCTTTCCAAGTTTTGGTCACGTCATGATTCTTCTTATAGATGTGACTGTAAAAGACAGCAATAGCGTTGGTCTGACATCTCTGCCAGATTTCAGAGCCCCAGGAGTAGTGGCCTTGTGGGCACAGCCCCACAGAGGGAAGCGGGATTGCTGCCAGCACCATGGCATAGGCATGGCAGCCCCAACGCTGCTTCTCCACAGCGTTAACCCAGACCTGGCCCCCACTGTGGGCAGCTCTGCCATCCCAGCTGGATCCAAGATGGACACAGTGCTCCCTCTGCCCCGGACACCACGGCTCGCGGGGAGGCACGAGTCTGAGAGCACAGCATCTCGTGGAGGAGTGGGGATGCAGCAAATGTGACACAGCAAGCCACAGTAGAAGCAGCTGACTCTGCCCCACACGTTGCCCAGCCAGGACTTGGCTGGGTACCAAGGCGATGTTAGCATGAGAAACTTGTTTTTGATGGTGATCTCGCAATGTCATACGCTGTTCTGAGAGTATCTGGCCCACAAGCATCAGCTGAGTACCAGCAGTGAACAGAGGGCTCGCTTTGCCTTCTGACTTCTAACAATGACAAAACCACCCGTTTCCCTCCACAGCAGCAGGAAAAGAAGGGTTTTATCTAAAGAAGTCAGCAAGATCTGCAATCCTTCACTTTTTCTGAATATTAAGGGGAAAAAAGTCCTAACACTTTATTTGAGAGATCATTAAACAGTAGAACAAGGATGTCAACAAACCCTTGAGAAAAGTGTCAGGAAGTCACCTAAATGGCATAAGTGGGTAACTAAGCAGCAGGCAGACAGATACTGCATGGACTTGGAGAAGAAAATCCAGATCAGCATCCCTGATGTTCCCCAGAGGTGCAGGAAGGAGGACTTGGACCATTAAGATTCCTCAACCCCTTTGCTCTGGGCATAAGATCTGACAAAGCTGTAAATACTCCTGCAATTAGCTACTTGTCAGCAAGTTAGTAAAAATAATAATAATAAATAGAAAGAACTTTATACAAAAGGATTCAGATTCATGTGCCTCTGTGGGATAAATATTACTGGCTGGTAAAGAACAAAAATCTTGGAAGAAAAATGAAGGCACTACTCTAATAGATACAGAAATGAGAGTGAATTAGGCTTAAAATCTTGCTCAAAAATTCAGAGCTTGGAAAACCATCACCACACGCGTAAGTGTGGCTGTGGAAGGGCCATGGATGTGCTTTAGGGTCATTAAAATACAAATCATGATGAGTATGAACAAAGGGAGCATACATTGCAAACCAGAATAAAAGTTTCCTATCAGAGCATTCAATTCAGAAAAGAAACAATAAAACCTAAGGGACATTGATAGCTGCTAACATTGATAACCTGTTTAATGAGGAGGTGGAAAAGAAGCAACAGAAATTTTTAAAAAATGCTTTAAAATTATGTTTTGAAGGAAAATAAGCCCTTGTGCTCCAGGGCACATGCTACATAGGGAAATGTGGATCCCTCTCACCTCACTCCTGTTTAAATTGGGATGTCAGAGCATCTCTCTCCCTGCTGGCTGTGAAAAAGAGCCAACTGGAGCAAGTGCTCTCCCAACACGGCTGCATTCATGTCTACCTAAAAGCAGGGGATAAACCCAAGCGCGGCCATTAACAGGAATGGTTGGAGGCAAAAGTGTAGCTTTTAACTGTTTGCTGCAGGGGGAGGTTGTGGTTTTTTGCAAAGGTTAGGGCTGCTGACAAAGCGCTCCGCTTCGCAGCGCGCAGTATTGCCTCTGCTCCTGAAAAGCTGGAAGTGGAGAAGAATGATCTTCCTGTGTCTGCTCGACTTTAACCATCAGGAAAAGGCCCAAGTACCAGTAAATGTTCAATCAAATCTCTCTACTCAAAGAATGGGGGGGGGGGCAGAGGGGGGAATCAAATTAAAAATCCAATCAAACTTCGGATTTCATGCCATATGAGGAAATAGGATGGAAAAGTCTGATGGTATTGCAATGCCGTCCTGTAAATCGATGGCACAGCCTCACTGAAATGCCAGGCTCTGATCGATTCAGTTAAAAATCATCGAACAGCAAATAGCACACAGGAGAGCTGCTAAGAACAATTCCATGGCTGCAGAGGGCTGGCTGAGGGCACCCACGTTGCCTTAGGAAAAAAAGAGGTTTTCAGGAATTCCTGAGCCAGGGGTTGCATTTAATAGCCAGCATTTAATCTCCAGTTCATGCCCAATCCTTCAGGTACATGACAGACGATTCAGAATTTACTGATGTAGAGGTCTGTCATTTAATTTTTAATCAATTTAATCCATTTACGAAGATTTTGTATAGAGCTATTTTTAATGTCAGTCAGTCTACACAGCTTTTGAAATGTATGATAACTATTTTTGACAATTTAATCCAAAAGCAAGACCAAGTTTGTTTGAAAAAAACCCCCATTCTTTATAACAGCACATGACATCAGCTATGCTAGTATCTTCTGATCCTCTCCGGCGGGTATCCCATGCCACCCCCGCCGCTGTTTGGCGAAGGAAGCGTCTCATTATCCGCGGCAAAGGTGAATACAGCCGCCAGGCCCTTTGCAGAGCTGAGGGATGCACTGAACCCTCTTGCCTGTTTACTGACAATCTGATGACCGATATCTCTTAAATCCTCCCTGATGTACTTATGGTCTTTAGCAGTTCTGATTATAGATTTTTCAGGGTTTCTTTCAGCTTTATGCACTCTCTGCAATTTGCTACTATTCCTTTAAAGCCACGCATCTCCCTTTCTCTTTTTTGCCATGTTTTTCATCTATAATTTTATTGCTGTTTACACTTCATTCATGTGGGACGAGTTTGATAAAACTGTCTTTTGTGACTTATTCCTGCTTACAGAAGAGAGAAGGGGACAGGTATAACATTAAGTTTCTGTAAAGGCTTCTCCATTATTGCCCTAATTTGTTTATATTCTCCTTTCCAGCCATTTTTAGTGAGAATTGTTCTCAATTGTATAAACCAGATCTTTTTTTATATTGCCAAAAATATGAAAGAAAGTTAAATTTTGGTGGCACGAGAAATCACAGATAACAGCTTAGCTGGACTCAAAAAAAGCAGCGGGTATTTATGCAGACATTCAGACCTTTCCAGAGCAAGAACTTAGAAAACTGGACACAGTCCTCATGCTGTAGGGCATAAGGCAGTGGCTAAGTGGTGAGCCTGAAAGGAAAAGTCATCTCCATCCCGAGCAGGCACAGCTGCTGGCAGCCAGGGTCTGGGAGGGTTCTGCACCTCCCTCCGGAGAATTCAGCATTGACTTTGGTCACAACAAGATGGTAGCTCATGGTCATGGGTCATTGGTTCCTGTTATCCTATTTCCTATTGGGATTCAGAAAAGTATTTCTACAGTTTCAGTGAAAATCTTACCACACTTCAGTAAATTCTCTGGGTAAAAAAAAAACCCAAATGCATTAGTTGAAGGTGCCATTTACTTTGTGTAGCAGCCACAGCAAGCTGGAGGAGATGCACACTGTGTAAACCTAGCACCAAGAAAGGTACGAAAGCTCCTGTTTTTCTAACCAACAAAGCATATAACTCCTGCAAAGATCTCCTAGAGGATACATGAAAAAGAGAAGGTATGTGTTGGTTTTGCGTGGCAAGGTT